TCTCTATAGAATTGTATTCTTGCTGCAGATGACTAAAAATAGCAAGAGTATTAATCTCAATTAAACACTATAGATTTTATAGTAATTGATTTAGCATCTTATTATATTTCTATAATATCTTATTGTTTTTCTTTATTCTTCAGGGATGAAACCAAACAACAGGCTTTTGTTTTATATTTCATTAATAGTGCAACATGCATATATGTTAACGTTCTTTATTATGCTATTCTTTTCCCTCCAGAAGTCAGGTGGGCCGTAGGACCATAGAGTTAGATCAGGAAGTAAGGGTGTACAAATGCAAATCAGCATTTAGGCACATGAAAATATCTACACAGAGCTGATATTGGTGTTCGGTGTTTCTATATGTGAATAGAGTTTGTTCCATTAGTTCCATCATCTGGGTGTGCTAGTGAGGATACTGAAAAGCTAGAGGTGATAGCTGGGCCCAGAGTCAACCTACCTTCTTTGAAAACTTCCGGTTGTCTCCAACAAAGGGCTTTTCTCGTGGCTTGAAGGTTCTAATACTTGCTTTTACCTGAAGAAGAAATAATTTATTTAGAATATTCAAACTTGGTAGCATCATATTATCTTGGAGCTCGGGTATCCTTTACTTATTGATTTATTTCTGTTGCTAAAGGGTTTATGACAAGGCGCTAGGTATACGTATCAGTTACTCTGCACAGACATGGTGCTAATCCAGGTTACTCAACAGAGCTAACTGGCTGCCAAGCGGCAGACAGCATGGTGTTACCACCTCCAAAGTTGAGCTCAGCACACAGTTCAGCATACTGCCTTCTGTGCTTTTTGTTGGATCAACCCCATACAGAAAAGAAAGAAACAGGAACTGAAGATCACAACCTCAAATGTCCTATTTGTGCTGCATATTCAATAATAAGGTATAAATAATAAGGGATATCCAGTAACAGACAAAAGTATTTTACAGTTCTGTAAAACCCTTAATCCAGACTGTGATATTCTTATTCACACTGAACACTACATTGCACTAGGAATAGATCCACTGAAGTCAATGGAATGACCCATCGAGTGACGTGCTATTCAAAGGTGAATAATGGAATAATGTAGCCCACAGAAAGTAAGTTAGCCACAGGAAAAAGAATAGATAGGGCACTGGTTTGGTCATAAGTTTTTTGTATGACCTTGGTCTAGCCTACTTTGGCCTCAATAAATCATCTGTAAATAAATCATCTTGTATATTACCACTGTGCTAGGTGGATACAATAAACTAAATATTATAACAAGGTTCCCAGACATTACAGTGATGGCTACAACAGTAAATAGATTCCAGACTATTTGAAAAAGAGAATTGGACTTAGGAGATCTTTGAAAGCCTCTGGAAATGGGGTAGGGGGCATAATTTATTTTAGCTTCTTGTTCTTTGCTAAAAAACAGTGATCATTGTTCCCTATAGCAACATCCCAAACTTAAACTCCATATAAGGCAAAATTGTCCCTATCCACCACTGAAATAAATAAAACTTCGCTCTCCACATGACCATAAAAAGTGGCTAGTAAGAAGTGAGTTTCATGCTCTCCAGCAACACTGAATGTAAAACAGAATTTAACTCAGTAAAAGACTGTGGGACATATGCAAGCTGCAACCTCCACTTCATGCGTGGTGCCCCATATTTGTGGCTTTGAATTTTTGTTCCTGTCAACAAACTCTGAAAAGGTTATTGTGGGTCAACCTTCTGGGAAGAAATTAAAATTCCTGCATAAGAACAAACATTAACTCCCTTTTTGTTGTTGTTGTTTTTGCTGTAAATTAAGCCCTTTCGTGCAACAACCCACACTTCATCCTACAACATCTGTGGTCATCTCCAGCCCAAAGCTGCCATTTCATTGTAATATCAACTTGGATGGAATGTTGAAGCGCTGTGATCTGCCAGTATTTCTTTATATTAAAAAAAAATAAAGCCCAACCTTCCCTCCAGATGCAACCAGGTCAGGACCTTCCCCATTCAGTTCCTTTGTTTAAAAAGCCCAACCCCTTGGCACTAGCCAGCTTACACGTTCCAGTTTCTTTTGCAGAGGATGAGTTAAGTGAAAACATTTAAACTTACTGGATTAAATAGGACTTCCAACTCCAAGTAAATTACTCCTTTTGAAGCAAGTTCAAGGTCTTTATTCTTCAGTGAATAAGAACATTGCTGTCCATTTCTAATCTAAAATTATAATAAATGAATAAAGTGTATCAATAAATATTAACTCTCTGCTGCTGCTAAAATAGCTTTTGAACGACTACCCTCTCACAGAAAAGATAACAGTATTGTAAAATCCTGAAATGCAACATGACCATTGGCTCAGAGGACTATAAAATTGCAGATTAAAACTATTACAATCCAACTTTAATTTGCAGACCTTATATTTTTATAGCAGAGCAGTACAACAATTACCAGCTTGAAGCTTGAAAATTCTGTCCTGGAAGCCAGTGAGTTGATGTGAAGTAATCAGCCTCTGTTATTGCAGATTTAAAATGTTTTCTTCCAAAGATTAGAAAAAGAAACACACAACAAGAAAAATCAAAATACCAATTCTCCAAATTTTGGAGAATTGAAAGGTTGTCAAATTATCAGCCACAAAACAAAGAGTCCAAGTCAATCAATCATTGTAACTGGAACGAATGTTAATGTAACAAATGTTCAAAATAAACAAATTCCTGTAAAAGACTTTCCCCTTAGAATTTCAGATGCTGTTTCTATGCCCTAATCTGCCTGTTGGCCCTATCATGTTAAATATCTATGAAAAAAAACCCAACAACCTATCTTCTTCACCATTTTGCAAACTATTTGGCTCAAATCAATGGCATCCTCTCTTCAAAAGTGATGGCAGAAATGTATTTATTATACACAGTAGGATATGTATTGATTAAACATTTGGCTTTTTAGGAAGCAGACCAGTTAATTCTAAACAGCAGCAACATAAAAACGGCCATTCACCGAAAATCTCCATTTGGGGACTGTAATGCGCAAAGATTAAAGATAACAGAGGAAATTTGGGGGCCTGAAATTGCAACCATATTTAAAATAGCTATTGCTGTCAAGGCATTAATTTAGTACAAGTGCTCATACAAGCCATTGTGAAAATAGGTAAATGAGGGAAGCAGGGGCAGAAAACAAAAAAGGGAGTGCAATGTTTTCAGATAACAAGGGAAAGGTAATTTCCTTCCCAATGCTGCTCCACCTTCTCTTCACTGAATAGTTTTTCAACAGATTGATGGTTTTCCTGGCTAATGGTTAAAGGAAAGAGAGCCCCCATAAATAACTAGTTTGCATCCTCAATGGGATTCAAACAGGAATTCCAGTTTTAACTAATGCTGTCATCCAAAAATTCACCCAACAGGAGGTTTTGGGATTGATAGGTCCGTGTTTTATTTTTCAAGTATTTTATATATATGGTACACTATCTAATTGATTTTAGATTGATCCTGCTTTCATTAAATGACCATTTCAAGCCACATACAGGTGCAACATACATGGGATAAAACATAAAGGGGATACATCACAGCTCACTTCACAGCCCACCAGTTTCAGACAATGCTGCCAAATATGGACCTGTCGGGGGGTAGGTCCCTCAATATAACAGCACTACTAGTGGTAGGGTCATGTTTATGCCTCATATTCCAAGAGTATATGGATGCAATGTGAGCTGCTAGGTGCTGATTATGTTTTGTTTGAAAGTTTTCAAGCAGCCTTATGAAAGACATATGATAAGAATTAAAGCACTTCGGGAAGTCAGGATAGCTTCCCTTTTGACACAGTTCGTAATGATGCATATCACAGTTTTCACTCACCTCTGCTGCTTAACAAGAAACCTTTATGTATTACATCCGTCATTCCCTCCATGAACCCACCTATGCTAGTTATGGACATAATACCACCAAGTCTATACTCACTCCTCATAGCCAGCTGATGTGATATAAGAACCTTTGGCAGGCAGGCCCTCAAACGAGGGGATAAGCAGACAGCTGCCCCAGGGCCCAGCAATTCAATAGGATCCAGGGCGCTCAGACACCTCCAGCAGTAATGACTGGAAGAGTGTAACCCAAGCCCTGCCCCTTCTACTCAAAGCCCCATCTCTTCCAGGAACATGGAGTTGCACCCCCATACACTTTGCCTAAGGGTGTGTGCAAGTCTGTCAGCTTCCCTATGGGCAGATGAGCCACAGAAGGATGTTACATATGGTACCTAAAAGGGTGCCACAAGGAGGAGGGAGAAAAATTGTTCTCCTTGACCTCCGAGGATAGGACAAGAAGCAACGGGCTTAAATTGCAACAGAGGAGGTTTAGGTTGGACATTAGGAAAAACTTCCCAACTGTCAGGGTGGTTAAACACTGGAATAAATTGCCTAGGGAGGTTGTGGGATTTCCATCATTGAAGATATTTAAGAGCAGATTAGATAGACATTTTATCAGGGATAATCTAGATGGTGCTTGGTCTTGCCATGACGGCAGGGGACTGGACTTGATGACCTCTCGAGGTCTGTTCCAGTTCTAATATTCAATGATCCTATGGAATCATTCTCGCTGGAGAGACAGCACTAATAAAGGCCTCCAAAGAGACATCAGATCTGCTTGAAGAAGGCCTGAAACCAATGGCACTCTCAAATTTTTAGACAGAGTCTTCCAAACAGCCCGTCCACCAGCCAATGAGTGTGTTACAGGTCTCCATTTAAAAAAAAAAAAAAAAAACACCTTCCATAGAGCTTAGAGAATCATTCATCTCCACAACTTTCTTCCTTAATATTATGAGAGCAATCTAAAGCCTCAAAGTAATCCAGATGTATTGGATTCTTGGCCAGTAACTCTGGCAGCCTGTTAGCCTGGAGAACACATTGGACATTTCTGCAGCAAGTAAAAGGAATGCTGCTGAAAACATCTTCTCAGAGATGCATATGTGAACACGCATCCACAATAGGTGTCTCAACATACAATTCAGACTTTAATGTATATGTCTGATAATTAAAAATAACATCAAAAGCTAAAATGAATTATATAATCTAATTATACATGTTTTGGTGATTTTCTGCATCTTTCTGATACACTTTTCTCATAGTTCTTCCTCTGCTCCTAGTGTGGAAAAACATCCTTGACAATAATCTGGTAAGCAGTATTCATTTATTTGTTCACGGTGCATATTATTTAATTATCGATTTCAAAAATCTAGACAAGGAAAGTATCAAACACAGTAGTACGAAACATGGCCAAGAGCTTTAGCTCGACTACTGACTTTGATTCTGGCATTACGCCTTTTTATACCAGAGCAAATTCCATTGATTTCTCTCCTGATTTACACAGCGAGAACAGACTCAAATGCTTTGGGTGTGGCTCCATGTGCAGCAAGTCTGGAATCAACAAAGAATTAATCTCCATTGCAACAAATTATACAATCTGAGAGAATGTTTCACTTTGGAAGATCTTTTAAAAAGCCAGAAATGTGCTTTTAAATGTCATCACCATTACTATTATACTTCACCAACTGTACTCACATTAGATCTGTTGGAAGTGTTAACAATCAGTTAACATACAATCAGTTTTATTTCTTATTCTGAATTCTGTTTAGTTTGTGTAGAGGAAATGGGAAATTATAGTTCAGTCCAACACGAAAATATTCACATTGATTTCCTAGTTTCCTGTCCTTCTTAAAAACAAAAACGGGGGAAACTGAATATAAAGTGGTGGTTTTTCTACCTTATGTTTTTTGTTGACTACTGAATTAAACAACCCCTAGTAGCACCCAGTTTGATTCAACAAATGCAGTGGGGAAATTTTAGTACACTTGGTCACATGGAAATAAAAAGGAAGCATCTCTCAAAAGTTCTCAGAAGAAAAATGCCCAGGATAGCTTTCACTGCCATACATTTCCCTGGGAGCTGTGCACTTGTGTGGCCATTCAAGAGAGATTCAAATGTTTTGATTTGGGGTCCACTTTTTCCCCACACCTTTGCTGCTCATGGCCAGAGCCATCCCAAACATAAGACGGTTTGGTGCAGCCACTCAATGCCCCATGTCTTTGGAGGCCCTGCAGTAGCCACCCCAACCGTCCTATAGACGGGAGAAACCTGGAGAATTACAGGGGCCTGCTGCACTTCAGTCCTAGCTTGATGAGCTTGGCTTCCCTGCAGCAGCAGAGACCTGGCACACCAGACCCCTGTAATACCTTGGGCTGCAATGCTATGGGGAGGAGGCAAGAGGGCGGGCTGGGGGCATAGCAAGGGCGGAGCTTGGGAAAAGGGGTAGAGAGGAGGGTGGGGTCTGCTATGTGGGGACGGCCTCATGTCTGGCACTGAGGGCTCTTGGGATGGCTGTGTTCATTATAAGGATTCCCTTGAGCTATGGGAAATATGAACAGATAAACTGAAGGATTCCCTTGAGCTATGGGAAATATGAACAGATAAACTGAAGCTAGATAGAAAATACTTTAATCTGACCTACTGTTTGTAACCCCAACTATCATCACTTTTGCTTTGGGCTAGGTACCCCAGAGATTTCACTGAATAATTAGTTCAATGAGTTGTGTGTATAGCAATACTTGTGTCTGGGAAGGCTGTCAATGAATACTGAATATTACATCTAGGTAAAAAGGGAATGCGTTTTACGCACACACACACTTCTGATCTAAATTTCAACATGGCAGAGGGTAGGATCCCTGCAGAGAGCTGGTTAAGGCTGCTCCTTCAAGACCCTTTGTTTTAGACCTTGATTGGTTCCCACGACGGAATGCCTGCATTGTTTGGGAGAGCTGGTTATGTGCAAGATTGCCTGTAACAGGTTGATTTAAAGCTTAGGGCAGGAAAGTCTGACTTATTGATTTGCTCCTTTTTGTAAGGTCTGAGGCCAGATAGGATGGTTTTCCTAGACAATTTGGTTTTAGGTAGACCAATATGCTAGAAGAAAAAGATTCCTACATCATCACAGCTAGGTCTATTTCAAACGACAAAGTAATGTCTAAGAAAAGCTTTGAACAGAAAATTTGAAGAATTCTCAGAACCAAAAGTTTTCTTCAGTATGATGTACCTGCTCACCCTATTGTCTACACACACACACACACACACACACACACACACACACTCACCTTACAGATTTTTTTCTTCATTCCTAAAAAAACATGTATTCAATGGTATAGCTCAGAGTCCCAGTTTTCTGCTTTGCCCAAGAGTCCCTGTG